CTTAGGGTTAGTATAGCCAATTATAAAGTAGATAGCCATTGTTAGATAAAAAAGTATAAATAGCTTACCAATGTATGCTGAAAAGACAGAGCTTAATGTGTTAGGAAAAATAGTCCTCATTGAGAATAGAGATAAAAGTTAGTAATATACCAAAGAAATAAAACGCAATAAAGAGACATTTACCTTCGGCCAAGTCAATCACCATGCCTCTGCCTTCCCTAAGTGTTCTATATAGGAGGCGTTCTCTTCTTTGTGTCATTTGTGAGTATTCTTGAGAAGTCTGAGTTATGCGAGGTACTACGGATTAGTGACGGACTCGCCGGGATAGTCCATGACACTATTGTGAGAACTCTTCCTTGCTCTAGTAACTAATACAGATTATTATATTCTCTATCTGATCTATTTAATAAGTAAATCTACTTGATTGTTAAATTTGTTGATTTTATAAGCTTTAAATTTCAAGATTTCCAAATTTAAATTTTTTTTATTTACCAGATCTTTGATTTTATTCCACAGTAGTCAATTAGTAATCTTTATCTACTTGTTGATATCACTATTTGTGAATATATGAATTTCCATACTTTAATTATAATATTGTAATCAGTATAAATTATAATAATTGTATTTTAAGGAGCAGTATACAATACAGTAAGAATAGTTAGTTATTTCATCTCTAGTTATAAATGGTCAAATAAAAGCTCCTGCTAAGAACTGTTTAATCACGTTATCTTTCTCTATTAAGATCCAAACTAAACCTATTTTGAGTTCACAGTTTGTCGTTTCATTTTTATGGAAGCCATCAATATAGAAAATAAACTGTTCAATCATATTTCTTTTATTATATTTCAGAATACTTATAAGTTTATCTCTATATTCTTCTATTTATATGGCTTGTTTTATTAGTGTGATATCTTAGTCTTTTATTTCTATAGGTCTAATAGTTAGTAAAGTTATTGTTTAATAATATGTATTTAATTGCCAATCCATAAAATTTCTTAATAAAAAAATTTGTTTTTTTTTTCAATTGTTATATCTATTTAATTTTGAAAGAAAGTGAACTAGTAATAAAACTATTTCTACTAACTATACTGTTTTATCTGATTGAAAATGGATATGATTATTAGTAGAATTATATATTTGCTAGTATAATATAAAATAAAATTTTTGTTTATAAATATTATCTTTTCAAATATATTTATTAGAATATTAGTATAGATTATTCAATATGTTTTTCTTTTAATTAGGTTTGTTGAAAATGCTTTAGTTTGCATATTGTAAACTATTTATTCAAGTTTATATAGAGAGTTTAATAGGAGATCATAATTTATTATTATCTTTTCATGAACTTTTTTATATTAGGAGAGGAACTGATCCCTTATATTTGCTAAAGAAAATTTGAATTGTTCTTTATTCTTTAAGTATTGTTATAATAATATTGATAAGCTGATCTAGAAATATGATTTTATGCTTTCGTAGTTAATGATGGGTCCCTAAAGTATTTAGCATATAAAATTTCACAGATCACTTATATCCCTTTTTGAGGAAAAAAATTCATAAATTTTCACTTTAATAGGGACAAAAATCAGGAAATACTATAAATCAATGATTTAGATAATAGAAAACAATTGTATATAGTTTTTTTATAGTTATTAATTTAAAAATTTTAATGTTTCTTAGTGAGGGATATTTGATTTATGTCACTGCCTCCTCTTTAGGGACCCATATTTATTCATAGTGTCGTGGGCTATCCTGGTGAGTCCATCACTAATCTGTAGTGCCTCGCGTAACCCAGACTTCTCAAGAATACTCACAAATGACACAAAGAAGAGAACGCATCCTATAAAGAACACTTAGGGAAGACAGAGGCATGGTGATTGACTTGGCTGAAGATAAGTGTCTCTTTATTGCATTTTGTTTCTTTGATATATTATTAACTCTTATCTCTATTTTCAATGAGGGCTGTTTTTCCTAACACATTTAGCTCTGCTTTTTCGGCATACATTGATAAGCTATTTCTACTTTTCTATCTAACAATGGTTATCTACTTTATAATCGGCTATATTAACCCTAAGATTTTGCTAAACTTTCTATACTTTTCAATTACATACAGTTCCTTTATCAGTATCCGAGCCTTATCTATAGTTTTTTATCTTGCGACACTCAATCTTTCATGCCAGACTTTCAAGTTTTTGGATTCTAGACTTTTACGCATAAATCACATCACCCACGTAATCTATAACAATAGCTATATAAAAAGAATATATAATAGAGATTGGTATTGGAGATTTCATCAAAATATTTAATAAGAAAAAAATTGGACTAGATTAGACAATACAGAAAAGAATTCAGGATCTTTGAATTCAAAATGATAAAACCTTAGATTTGTCAATTTTTTGGAATCAATTTAATTTAATCAATATTTTCAATATCTTTTTCAAGACCAATAAAGATAAAAACTTTCTAATTAATCTAATCAATAATGAATTTCTAGTCTTATAGATACTTAAGAAAAGAAAACTAGATATGTATACTATAACCACTCGTCCAGTATATAAACTTTAAAAAGAAATATTAGAATATCTCTTTGAATGCTCAGCTATTAAAGAAATCAGAAAAGATATATGGTAAAAAGTAAATAAAAAATTCATAAATATATTAGCAAAGAAGTTAAAGATAAAGAGGAAGTCCGATATATAATAAATAACTAGATAGACAAATAGTTAAAGGAGATTCAGAAATCTAATAGAAGCATTTTTAATACTATTTGTGGATATATGGAAGAAGATAGGATCACCTCTTTAAAGAAATATCTCAAAGAACAACTTAAGATCCCACCTGCAATTACATAGAGTATAATTGATAAGTTCTGTCAAAAAATGTAAGTAAACTTTAAAAAAGAAATTTGAAATAATTGTTATATTAAAGTTATGGGATAGAAAAGAAAGTAGAAGATTATAGAAAAAGATAAAAGAAATAAAAAACACAATTATAGATCTGATATACAAATTGAATAGGATTAAGAAGTAGTACTGTTATCATTGAAAGACCTGAATCTAGAAAATACTAAAGAAAAAAAGAAAAAGAAATATATAGTAATTATTAAGAATTGAATTTGTATGGAATTAAATGGTTTGGTTTTTAATTATAGGTCGAATATAAAATAATTTACAATTATAACCTATAAGCATTGATTTTATTAATTAGAGAAGTTATTCAAATTAGTAAAAGAGTGAAATATCATTTTCTAGGTTGCATTTAGAGAAATGATTTTTTGATTATAAATGAGTTAGTATATAAAAGATATAACAATTTGTAAATATCTAGTATATATACAATAAAGATATTTTATGTAGACATGATTATGGATTAAAAAAAAAAAAATAAGTATAAATACATATTTAAAAATTAATAATATAATTTTTAATAAAATTTATAATAGAATTATAAGATATAAAAATAATCAAGTACTATATCAATAAAATATAAACTTATATATTTAAAAATAAGATTAATAGTAAATTCAACAAATCAATTAAAAAAAGTTTCAAATGTATATATTAAACTAATTTTGATAATTAAAAATAATATCTGATTAGATAAATACTAAAAAAATGATATTATAAAAATTTTTTTTAAAAAAGATAACTTTAGTTTTAATAAATATAAGATTGAAAATTAAATCAAATATATTTTAAACTCAAAAAATATAAGTAATATTATTTTCAAAATATGTAATATTTTTAACTTTTAAAAAATGTAATAATAATGTTTAACCATATTAATCAATCTTATAAGAGAAATAATAAGTAATAAAAAATTTAAAAATTTAATTGATATTATATAATAATAATAGTTAAATATATAAAAAAATGAGTTTATAAAATTACTTACTAAATCAAGTAATATTTATTTTATTATATCTAATAAAATAGTTTATGTTATATTTTTTTTTTTAAAAAAAAAAAGTTTTTCAAATTATTAAAAAAAGAATATATTATTAAGAATATTAATTTATTAAAGGTACTGAAATTTTTATTTTTTTTTTCTTTCTTTTTTTTATATAATATATTTGTGCAATTTTATATTCTTTATTTTTTTTTAGCATGATTTTTCATTTTGTTTAGCATTATAGAAAACAATTAGATTTGACAATTGATTAACAATAATGCAAATTATTATGAGGGTTTTTATTCAAAGTACTTAAAAATATTATATTATTCTCATGTCAAACTTTGAGACTTCTGCTTAAGATAAGTTTATTTATAAAAAATTTAGTTTAACATAAATATAATAAATGCATACTGCCAGCTTAGCTTAATGGGCAATTGCAAAAAATTATTATTGTTGTTATTGCTTTTGAGATATGCACTTGCTGTATATTAAGTATATATTTGGTTTTTTTCTTTTTTTTTTTTTTTTTAATATTATATAGAATCGTTATATTTACAAACAAAAATTTAAAGACAAGTCGTTATAATTTGCTACTGCATTAACTTTTTCCATTAAACGTTTGTTCACTCAGGGTTGCTTATTTGTCAAAATGGTTAAAACCAAATATACTGTATTATTTGCACTAGCATCCATAACGGAATCAATTCAATTTTACACTATGTTGAGACCGTACTTCTGGAACCCTTAGGCCCGTAGAATACTCTAGAAGACTCAACTCTATTCCGGATGTCTTTGGTGAGAAATATGATCTAAAGTAACTCGAGGTGGTTGCGCAATTTTATTCTAGAAGGATTGTATGCGACACACGTGTTCCCATGTTCCGGAATGATGTGATTTTTCAGTCCGAAAAAATAACACAAATACGTATAATGTTAGCTCATTCAACTGAATCTATTTCTTTTGATGGAAAAGCTAACCGAAGAGTTACAGAGACAATCTCTAATAATTGAAAATTCAAGCCTAAGAATTAGTCAATTACAAAGTTCCTCGGTAAGTGCGGGACAGGAAAGGGAATTGGCCTTGCTTAGACACCGGATTGCAGAGCTCGAAACCGATTTTATGCTTGAGCGTAAAGAACAAGAAGCTTGTAGAGACAAAATCCAAGATCTGTATCAGGAAAATGATGAACTAAAACGGCGAATTGAAAAAATTGAAAAGAATTTCGTGCTTGGGCAAAAGGAACAGGAGTTTAACAAAGAAGAAATGAAAAAAATGTACCACGAAAACAGTGAGCTAAATTCACAAATGGCAAACTTATATAACAAATTCTTGTTCGCCAGCCAAAGGGTTGAGGCTCTTGATCAAGAAAATATGAATTTGAAAAGTCGATTTGAAGATGAAATTTTTCGGCTTAAGGCCGAAATAAAAAAACTATCTGAAGTTTCCCAAAGCAAGATAAAGGGTTTGGCAAAGTGGGATTATAGTGGGACGGATCACGGTGACCTTTCGTTCAAAAAAGGGGATATAATAAGCGACATTGTTCTGGTAAATAACGGTTGGTGGAAGGGAAAAACGCAAAATGGAGAGTCGGGAATATTTCCAGGTGAGTTTTACTTTATTGGGTAAGGTTTTTAGGTGTGTGTTTTGTGTAGGCCCTTCTCATTTTTATTTTTCATTACACCGCAGCGAACTATATTCAAATAATTGAATAAAAATTGACGAATTTCATATCTTGTACTTATACAGAAAAAAAAAGTCACTTGTTACCTTGCTAAAACTCCTTTCTAATTTTGTCGGCATACTGGATGTATTTATTTACATCAGTAAAGCCTATTACACTAACATGATTTGGCCCCAGTCCAATGGATTCGACGTTAAAAGTTGGGTACTTTGTATGCCGATAACGAAATGACACAGAGGATGGACGCATAATTTGCAAAGGTTATAAACTTCACTTGCATCTACAAAATAATTTGTGATTGTTAATCCAAATACTGTATATAATTTTTTCTTGTTTCGCATAACTCGAATGAAATACAAAGAAAAAAATTAAGTTTTAAATCTGTTTTTGGGGGGGGGGGGGGGGTAACGAGAGAATCCGTATTATGAAATTAAATTTTGGATATAAGCGGTCACCGTACTTACCTCACTTTATTCTCCTACTTTTGAGATTAACCAGGATGTTTTCATCCTTAGTAAATGAAGTGAGAATCTTATTCGTGCTCATGCAAGATCATAACGAACTGTACGAACATGGGCACATTGATTGCTTAATAAAATAAATTTAGAGAACTTTAATAACGTTTAATCGGAGTCATAATTCACACGCCGACGGCGCCAAGCGCAAAACAATGGTTACAGTATATGAATGTTCTCGTTGGGAGAAACAAAACGCATGGAATGACGGGTACAATTCGATTAAACTTCATTTTCCGGCTCAACTCATAACTTCTCATATCTCATGTGTTACATTGAACCAATGCATACGTACTTTATTACTTCCCCATCAGTATTATCAACATTTGTTTTTTCACTCATAACTCTCCGTCGTCTTCGTCCGCATTAATTTATAAACAACATACTACGTATTATTTCCTCAACCCTCAAAAATGTCGGAAAATTTGGCCATGATTGAAACTGGTGATTTTTTATTTTGAGAATCAATTCATGGAAATACTAGGAATGAATTTGTTCATCTTGTTCTTGCGAACACCACAACTTGCATTTTACACCAAATATTTGCATCAACTGCACTAACCTCGAACAGCTTAAATCAAGTTCGGCGAAATTGAATTCGACTCTCAACGTAAAAAGAAATAATTTGAGATACTTGAAACAAGAAAATAAAGATTTGAAGAATCAAATATCGCGAACGTCAAGCATACATTTGTTGCAATATGATTTTATTATTGAGTATTGATGGTGAGATAATTATAATTATGCGTTATAAACTTATTCATCAACAACATTTTTGTAATCGGCAAAAAGAACGAGCCCCGAATTTTCCATGAGTTCGCCAAAACAATAGGAATACCATTGGATTCTAAATTTTTCATTCATCGAATACGCTTTTATTCAACATAAATAAAAACAACAATAACAATAGTGAATACTCCTTTTAAAATATTTCGTGTATCCGAGCATTGTATTTCGAGGGTGTTTTTTTTGCGTGTCGAATAGATTCTACGGGCGGATACTGTATATCTCATGGCATGCATTGTAAATTATAATCCATCTTTCAGATTGCACTTTATGTTTAGTCACCGCCTGACTTTCATCTTAATTGTATCAACTTAATTTTCTTCTCGACCGAAGGTCATTATCATGTTATATAATCAATGGATTAGAGAATAGTGCGCTTCTTTTATAACATTATTTCATCCTCGTGGAGTTTTCAGTTGGATAAGAACTATCCTGGACTTTGTTCTGCTTTTCACTTGATTTTTATGATTTGAGGATTTGACATGAGTTACGGAGCGGAAAAATGATACAGCAAACTACGTATATTTAGGGTCGATGCATGTCGATCAAAAATTGCCCATACGTTGTACATTTCGCCTTCGTACAATCCCTCCGAGAAGAGCATCTTTTAAGATAATTTTTTGATTACTTATTGCGGGCGATTTATTTTCCATATGTTAAAATGACAAGATACAGTATGTGAAAAATGTCCTTTACTGTAAATTTATAAAAAAATATTTACTTCCCTTGCATATAAGACTGACTATCAATATCGTATCTTTGTTTATTACGATTGATTACCAACTTGTGACCTACAATTTGATAGATTATATAAGAAGTTTCGGATCCCAACCTCTCCTATTTTGAAAAGAACAATGAGTCCTTTTATCAACAAACCAATCGGGGTTAAGGTTCTAGGTTCATTATTGTCTTAACATTTTTGTCAGTACAAATTCAATAACCCACAAATGTATTTATGCTTCTTATTTCTAATATTTAGATGTCGAATTTAAGTTAGGTTGATGTTTTTCATTATTGTAGATACTGTAATTCGGTAAATTTGTTATTACTGTACGTATATAGGATTGCATTTTATGAGAAAGATAGCAGGCGTGTTACTTTATGTGAGCCCTATATTGGAACAAAGAATTTCAAATGTTCGGTGCTGGCTTCAACCTTTTTTTATTATGTTCTCCTTGAAGCGAGTATACATCATCATTCCACATTTTTCATTATGCATTGTATGATTAGACCAACGGAATTCTATAGCGACAGTGAACGACTCAACTTATACCGGAATGTTATGATCTGAACTCGTGTTACAAGCACGCAATGATTTGAAAACGCCGGTCGTTGATCGAGCTATATTCTAAAAATTCCTTGAATTTTATAAAAGGCCATCGACATTTCTTCATTTCTCCAGGAAGCTCTAAAAAAAAACCTATCATAATTCACATTAAAATGTCTGAAAGCCCAAATTCTCTGTTCGATAGTATCGAGGTCCCTTTTCCCCCGTCAATTACCGTTGACGAATTAATCAAGAAGCATATACAAAAAGGCACAGTTGACGTTAATAGAGTGTCAAATGCATTTTTCATTTATAGAAATGCATATAATCGCGAAGCTATGAAACTTGGTTTCATGCTCAAGGACGTTTCCAGACTTGCCGGGAGCGCTTGGAAAAGTGAACCAGAGTACGTTAAAGAACACTACAAGAGAATGGAGACCGAGATTAAATCAAGACTTAGAATGATGTTTCCATTTCGTTTTAAGAATGACCAAAACAAAAAATCCATTAGAAAAAAACACCGTAAAATTACTGATTCTACTACGGATAGGGTTAATCAAAATCCTACTGTCATATCTGTTCCTTTTCTTAAAACCGCGGATATAAACTCCCAAATAAACATAAAAAATCTTAATGATTCTACCGATTCTTTCATGGCCTCTATTCCCGAGGAGTTGGCGTTGACTTATGTAGCAATTATGCAGTCTCTGCCCTTCTAAGTATTGGCATTTTTCGTCGATTCGATTCCACATGTCATTGTCACGTGAAGTATATTAAGTCTGAATTTAGTTAACTCACTATGCATCGCGAGACGGAAATTTATGTTAAAAAAACTCATTTAAATTTAAGCATAATACAGTATACTTGAACAAAATTTTATAAAAAACTTGATTAAAAAATGTACTTATTAAATTATCAACAAGAATAATAAAATCATTTCCATAAATATGCATGTATATAAAATCAATGTCTAATCAACCAATTTATTTCTACCATTATTATCTAGATAAAATGGAAAAATAATTAATATTATTTCAAAGCATTATTCCATCCGTTTCTAAAATGCAGCATATGCTGTGTATTAGGCGATGTGATTATTTTTGAAAGCGACAATAATATTATTTAAGAATTTTCTGATAGTCTTTTTTATTTTAAATAATTCGAACCATCTTTTTTATCTATTCTTAATTTAAACTATTTATATTTCCATCCATCAATACATAATCAAATTTAATAAAAAAATATGTATATTAAAATCTACATCCATATTATAAATTTGATACAAAAAAAAAACCCCTGTTAAAATTTGATTACTAAAAATAATGCAAATAAATTAAATTTTATATTTGGAATTTAAATTATTTCTCCGAGTTTAATTTTTTAATAAAAAATTAAAATACTTTTATCTTTATTAATAATACACAATCAAATTTAATAAGTAAAGTTATAAAAATTATCATATCTTTTTTAAATTTAAAAAAAAATTTTTTTTTATACTAAATACTATACACTGTATACTGTATTACAGTATATATATTATAAATAATATTATTTTACAATCATCTAGCAATAAATTGTAGCAATTATATAATCATTTTTTAAATAATTCTTATATTTAAAAAAATATTATATAATAAATCAATATATATTTTTAATAATATTAAAATATTGATAATTCTATTTCTATAAAATATCAATTTAAATATTTTATAATTAATTATCAATTTAAAGAATAATTAAATTAAAATATATTAATTTTAATTTAACTATAAATAATTTTATATTACTTTTTAAAAAAGCAAACAGTTAAACTTTTAATTTAAATAATTATTAAAAATATTTTTTTGCTTTTAAATTTAAAATTAAAAAACAATTTTTATATTTATTATTTATAAAATTTATAATTATCAACTTTTATATCAACTTTTAAAAAAATATAAATATTAATTTTTGATTGTACTTAAATTTATTATTTAAAAAAACTTTAAAGACAATTTTTATTAAATTAAAATTATAAAGATTTAATTTAAAAGTGAACTATTAAAATTATAAAAATTTGATTTAAAAGTAAATCTTAATAAATTTTATAATATAAAGTTTGCTTAAAAATTGTTAAAAAATTATTAAAAAAAATTAAGACATTTAATTTATATTATAAAAAATTATATTAAATTATAAACTATTAATTTAAATAATATCTTTTTAGTCCATTATTTGAAAAATAAAATTAATTATTATATAAATATATATATATATTATAATATTTATAATTAAATTAAACTATAGTTTATTAGACCTGTATATCTTGATAAAAAAAAACTCTTTCCACTGATCTACTATTTTCCTAAAAATTTCCTTTTTTGATAAGTATTTAGAAAAAAAGGATAATATTACCCAAGCTCAGCAAACATAATAAAGAGAAACATAACTACATCACCCATTTGAAGCAACATATAAAGCTTTATAAACAAGCCATCAGGAAAAGAGTACATAATAATAACATTAGTACTTTATCTATCAACTTTTGAGAGAAAGGAAAAATAAAAATAAATCTGAATCACAGTAAGATCAAAGAACCCAACATCAACTTCACTAACTTCCAATCAGGTCAGTGCAGATTTACACTTTTTTAGACATTAGAAGGAACCTGGCAATATAGTAACCTCAACCGGTAAACTAGTTAAAACTCAAAATTTGCAAGACCCAAGAAGACGTCAAGAATCCAAGAGCAACAACTAAAAATTATCAGTAACAACATATCAACAACACATAAACAACTAACATATAATGCAAACATGAATATATCCCTTTAGACAATAAAGACATAATAATAAATTACATGATGTATTTCTAAACAAATAAACAAGCTTAACACATGTTCTAACTAATCACAAAACATATACCTCACATTCAGTTTACCCCTTTATAGATTCAACACACATGTTACTGAGATCAACAAATAAACAGATAAATAACCTGTAACTTGTGTTTACCCCACAATTGATCTACTAGTCTACTAGTATAATAGATAGTTAGAAAATTCTATTAATTCTATCTGAATAAGTAAACAAATAAACAGAGTTAATTTACGAAGTATAACTTATTCAATAATCACATGACATAGTCAACATGGATAGAACACAATGTATTCTTCATATAGTAAATAAAAGGAAGGAGAATATTTTGAATATCTTAATTAAGCTTTCAAGAAAGCATGACGAAACCTCAGAACTATAGGTATTCCAACAGTTAGTAAGGCAAAAAGAAGAATATCCAATAGAAAAAACAACTCTCACGCCAGAGACTTTTATTATTCTAGATAGTATTATTGCTAACATCCTAGGAATAGACAAAACAATATTTCATAAGGAACAGATCCTTATTCAACATATCCTATACCTTTGGCAACAAGAAAAGGAAAAAGAAGAAGATCTTCTATAGCACTATATAAAAGACAAATTCATTGAAATTATCAAGAATGCAGGTAATCCATAGGAGCAGAAAAGTCAACCAATGGAGATTACAGAATATGTAAATACTGAGTCAATGATAGATAATGAAATCATAATGACCAGTAATTATGAATAAGAAGAGGCTGAAATACAAAGGCTTCAAGAGAAAATAAAAGGCACAATATCAGTGATTATAACTTATATAACACAAGAAACAGAGACTTCACTCTATCGACAAATCAATATTTTATAGAAAAAGAAAGAATATATAGACTCAGTACCATGACAGCCAATATTCTAGAGAAAACAGAAGAAGAAGCCAAGGCTTACCTAAGCAATACCTTGAAACTACCATAGAGAGAAAGACACCTCTTAAAGAAAGAATTTATTAATAGAAACGAATAGTTGACCTTTTGGGTACAAGAAAAAGAGAATGTTCTAAAATGCATAGAATCGATAAACTGCAAAGAGAATAATTTTACTATCCAACAAATAACTCTTTACACTTCATGTTCTACCCATACAACCAAAAGAGAAAAAAATAAAAAAATCTTTTAAGAATTCAAAGGGGAAAATAGATCAAATATATGGCATGTCAGCCTAATAGATCTAGATCAGAAGGTTTCCAGAAGTTATATAGCCAAACATCTTAGAAGATATGGAATAGTTCAAAACATCCATATCTATAAGGCCAAGATGAAAACTAAGGTCAAGGCCTATTTCAAGCTTATTAAACATATTAAATGGGATCTCGCAAAAGTATGAACAATACCTATAGGTACTGAAACGTCCAGAGCCATTTTCACTAAATCAGAGTTGACTGATGAAGAGATAAATGCCACCCTAATCAAGAGAAATATTGACTCAGCTAGACTGTTGAGTATAAACAAAACATATATCAGCTTGATTTCAAAAGTTCTACATGGTACCTAGGCAAAAGCATACTATACTCCCAAAAATCCTTACATATTAAAGAAACAAAACTTTACAATTGTTTGTTTTGTGGCAAGAGAGAATAGGGACAAGGCATGCAAACAACATATTTTCTTACAATGTTTAAGACTATTCTAGAGTGTGAAGAATCCCAGCAATAGAGAAAATATTAGCTCTATAAGTGAAGAAAGGAAATTACGTTATTAAAGATCTCAAAAAATCAACATAGATAATGACTCAACTTCAGATTCACTATCAGGCTATGAATCTACAAGATTCTCTTCTTTCTCCTCTTATTATCATTCCTATATTATAAAATCTATATGCTTCAGAGACTAAAGACAAACAAAACAAAAAAATAATAATAGAGTAAGGCAGGAAAATCATAGAACAACTCAATATCTTGCTACAGGTAGTAATAGAGAGCCAATAAGGAAATGAAGGACTCACCAGCAGAATATCAGCAGTGAGAATATCAGATCAGAGGTAAAAGGGAATTAAGATCCTTTGCAGCTCATTTTGGCCAACCTTGAAAAACTAAGTGGTAGAATAAATAGACTTGAAAAACAAACAATTCCAAATAAGATAAATAGAAATAGAAGAGGACCAATCACTCCTAAAATGATGCAACAGGCAACCCAAAGAAACAAGAGGTGAACATGCCCCCTTTATTCTTAATAGCAACTAATAACAAGGGCAGAGAATAAACACAAGAAAAAGAGGTTTCATTAGAACAACATGATAATTTAGATCTAACAACTTTCTTACAAAAGAAACGTAATACTTTCCTCAACAAAAAAAGAAAAAACATAATAATAGAAAAGGAACAGAAAGAAATGGGAAACATATAAAAAAGGATAATTGGAATTGGAACACACAATGTCAAAGGCATCACAGATAAGATAAATCAAAGAAGTCTAATTGAAGAAATTACAGAACAAGGGATAGGTATAATGGGTCTATATGAAACAAAACTTATTCAAGCTAATACCAAATATGCTTTTGACAAACAAAGAGCCTATAAACACTTCCATAATATCAATTCTAACATACCCTTTGGAGCAGGAGTTAGCCTTCTTATCAGAAAAGATCTAGAGAAAAAGATGGTATCAATCAAAGAATATGATGGATATATTATAACTATAACTTATTGATAAAAAAGAAAAAGATCTATATTATACAGGTCTATATTCCATCAAATAAGCAAAGGTACAAAAAAGTGCAGGAGAAAATAACCAGCCTTAGCAAAACAAAACATAGAAAAGACTTTCACATAATTATAATGAGAGACTTTAATGCTGCTTACAACCCATTGGAAGATAGAACCTTATCTC